ATTGTACACTGTTCTGCATTGTGTTAAATCATTTTCATAGGGCTTTATTAATCTTTTGTGGGACCCAAGGAGCTGCTCCTGCTTGGCCTCTTACTCCCTATTTGCCCACCTGTGCTCTGCACAAGGCTTTGCCTGCCATTATCATTGGAAGGGAGGGAATGTAGAGGAGCAAGCAAGGGGTGAAAGAGGAGAAGCAAGTGGCATGTGAAGTCTCAGGGGGAAGAGGCCTGAGCAGGTGCAGGGCCTCAGGGTGAAGTAGGGGGCTGGAGCCACAATCCAAGCACCAGGAGCCCTTCTGAGTGTGGGCTCGGTGCCATTGTAAACCCCAGCATTGCAAATGTAAACTGCTACCACATAAAAATTCGCCAGTCCTCTACCCTGATGGTAGGATTCTGTTTTGTACTCACTTTACCCAATATGGAAAGACAGACCAGACCCCCAGTGATATTCATTCACTTCCCACTTCCTAAACATTTTAATTCCCTAGGGAGCCATAGTACTACTGTTTCTCTCTGGCTATGTCTACACTGCACTCTAAACTCAAAATAAGATATGCAATTTGCACTATGCAAATCGTGTACTTATTTCTGGTTTATTTCGTTTGCACTATGCAAATTGTGTACTTATTTCTGGTTTATTTCAAATAGGCTATTTTAAAAATTTCTAAATAAAGTGCTATTTCAAGATATCTCTTAACCCTCATGGAATGAGGGTTACCGGGATGCCGAAATAGTGCGCTTGTTATTTCAAAAAAATATTTTGAAATAACGGGTGGCTTGTGAAGACACGGGGTAGCTATTTCAGGATATCTCTGGTATCCCAAAATCACACTGATGTGAAGGCTAATGCTGTAACTAGCTGTTGGCTTTTTAGCCTTGATATCTCAGGGTATGTCTACAGTTGCACCCTAGTTCAAACTAGGGATGCAAATGCAGGCATTCGAAATAGTCAGTGAAGCAAGGTTTTAAATAACCTCATGCGTCAGTAGCATGATCTCACTGGCGCGTTACTCCGAATGTCAGCTGTTTCGAAAGTGAAAGTGCATGCCGAAATGAGCGTCAGTAGCATGATCTCACTGGCGCGTTACTCCGAATGTCAGCTGTTTCGAAAGTGAAAGTGCACGTCGAAATGAGGAGTAACATGCCAGCAAGATCATGCTAATGAGTTCGAATCAAGAGGTTTGGTTCGAACTAATGCATCCTGGCGCACACTTTCACTTTCGAAACAGTTGGCATTCGGAGAGATCGTGCCGGCGAGATCATGCTAATGAAGCGCAGGATATTTAAATCCCCGCTTCACTGACTATTTTGAATTCCTGCATTTGCATTCCTAGTTCGAACTAGGGTGCAAGTATAGGCATACCCTCAGAGTGCAGTGGACCTAGTTCGAACTAGGGTGCAAGTGTAGGCATACCCTCAGAGTGCAGTGGCATTTTAGAAAAACTCTGTCATAAAAATTAGAATTTAATGATTTTTCCATGATACAATTGGACTGTGATTGCTAAAAGTCTGAAAACAGTGACCTGAGCCAATTGTGTGCTCAGCCTAGTGCAAAACACAGAGGAAGAAATTATCTCTGCTCCAAGGATCTTACAGTCTATAAAGAGGAATTTAGACTCCAAACAGTTTCAGATCATGCCAAATTTTATAACAACTCTCTGGAGTTTTCAGGTTTAAATCTTCAGACCTGGAAGAGTTATGAGAGGTTGTTACTAAATTTTTAAGAGGAAGTGCACAATGTGAGCTAATCTCAAGTCTCATTAAGTCATTTAAAGGACAGTGTTAAAAGCAATGGAAATACATGTTGGTTAAAAAATGCATACAGTCATGACATTTTCATTGTTGTAAAGAATTCTCTATCTTATTAAACTTTATACAATGGGTACAAATTAGGGATGTAAAAGGTTAACTGGATACCTGGTAAACATTAGCCATACCAGCATGTTTACTGGGTAACCTGGAGGTTATCCTCCATGGTTAATCGGTAAAACATATTTTAAAATGGGTATTTACATCCCTAGTACAGATCCATATTGGTAAGCTTAGAGGTAATAAGACCATATCTTTACCAGCTGTAAATGGAAGGAGCTCCATTGACTTCCATGGAACTAAATCAGTTTGACACCCACTAAGGCTCTGACCCATATGTTGTTCAGTATATTTTTATTGTTGGCTGTCTGTTATTCATTTGCTTGCTTGCCATGTGCCTGTTTCATTGAAGTTTACAGTGCGGTCTGTTGAGGGCCTGTGTGCTGAGCCTAGCAGCCATCTAGGCCAGGCTGCAAACTCCATAATGAGGCTGTAGCCTGTCATTCTTTGATCCCTTTAATATCCCTGGACAAGGGGGCACGGCTAACTCTGGAAGAACAGCCTGCTCATAAGTGTCCACTGGAGCCAGTAAACAGAGGAGTTTTGCAAGGAAATTTAGAGAGGATGTGTGAGTGCCAGATTCTCCTAATAAACATTTTTTAAACTATGCCACTGACTACCTCTTTCCCATCCACCGCCTCCCCCACCCCAGAAAATCTGCCTTGGGAACAAAAATAATCAGGGAGAAATCCAACAGTAATGCAGGGACTATCCAATATACTGCACTGAATGTAGCCATATATTTTGGGCAGGTGGCATAGGTGCACACTCAGTTCAAGCAGCTGAAGATCCCCAGGAATCCATCATGGGCTCTTGAGACTAGTGAGGTTGAACTGAAAGAGCTAAGGGAAACAGGTCCATAGACCGGACTTTCCAGGACATAGTAAAACACTCTCACCCCCCGTCTGAGACATCACCCTCATTTTCCTGTGTTAATTATAGGAAAGATCTGTGATATCTCAGATATTATGTAGTCTCATTATTACATACATCTTTTTATAATACTCTTTGGACAGTCTTGAAAGAATTTATTATACAGGCAGTCCCCGAGTTACGCGGATCTGACTTATGTCGGCTCCGCAGTTACGAATGGCTTTTCTCGCCCCAGAGGACGGGAGTGGCGGGACGCCCAGATGCGCCGCGGTCCTGCCGCCCACGTCCTCCGGGCGAGAAAAGCTGCTCCGCGTCTCCCTGGTCTGCTGGGGGGAAGTCCCCCCAGCAGACCAGGGAGACGCAGGTGGTGGGACCGCCAAGGCACTCCGCGGTCCCCCCCGCATCCTCCGCGGCTTTGCTCCGCGTCTCCCTGGTCTGCTGGGGGGAAGTCCCCCCAGCAGACCAGGGAGACGCAGGTGGTGGGACCGCCAAGGCACTCCGCGGTCCCCCCCGCATCCTCCGCGGCTTTGCTCCGCGGCTCCCTGGTCTGCTGGGGGGGGGCACAGGTAGTGGGCCCCCCCCAGCAGACCAGGCTTTTCTCGCCCATGACGCCTGGGGGAGAGCAGCTGGGGCGCTGCCGGGTTGGTCCCCCAGTGCCGCTCCTCGGTGCTACTGGACCAACCCAGCAGCACCCCAGCTGCTCTGCCCCAGGCGTCCCCAAGTCAGCTGCAGCTGAAACTGACCAGCAGCTGACTACAGGAAGCCCGAGGCAGAGTTGCTCTGCCCCAGCTTCCTGGAATCAGCCGCTGATCAGTTTCAGCAGCGGCTGACTTGGGGACACCTAGGGTAGTGCAGCTGGGGTGCTGCCGGGTTGGTCCCCGCAGCGCTGAGGTGTGGCGCTGCGGCGACCTACCCGGCAGCGCCCCAGCTGCTCTGTCCCAGGCGTCCAAATTCAGCTGCTGTTGAAACTGATTAGCGGCTGATTCCAGGAAGCCCAGGGCAGAGCAACTCTGCCTTGGGCTTCCTGTAGTCAGCCACTGGGCAGTTTCAGCAGCGGCTGAATCTGGACGCCAGTTCCGACTTACATACAAATTCCACTTAAGAACAAACCTACAGTCCCTATCTTGTACGTAACCCGGGGACTGCCTGTATATAAGTAAGAAACACAAATGAATGATGATTTTCTTAGAAATCCTTCAAGCTCATGGTCCTGCTGGTAAGTATTAATAAATGTAATGCTTACTACTATACTGGTAGGACTTGGTTCAAACCCCCAATAAAAGAGGCAATCCTAGTGTTTCTTCCCCTTCGACCTCTCTTCAGCTCTTCACCATTCAACTGGACCCTAGGCAGCTCTTGGGATGCAGTCCAGTGTCTGTGATAAGGAAAGACATCTGCAGTTCTTTGCCTACTTAGCAGGAAAGACAAAAGTCCTCCAGGACAGTTATGAGCCCTGGTAAAGGCCTGGCCCTAAGGCAAGGTGAGCAAGGCAAATGCCTTGGGCCTGGCGTTGCTGAGTATTCACCATCCACCAGCTGGGCCCGGGGCCCTGCTCCCAGCATCCTGCTTTGGACCCCACAATCCCTTTGGCTGGGCCTGCCCTGGTAAATATTAGAAATAGAATAAATATTCCATCATAAGGATGTATCAAGCTTTTATGCAACTGAGATTCAGCATTATTGTATGTGGTTGTATGAAACCCTACAGCATGTTGATTGCCTAGGTACAGAACAGCACAGCAATGAGAATATAGGCCGTCCATAGCTATTTGGTATTGAGTACTGCCATGTTAGGAAATACATTTTTGCAGAGAGACTGTTAACAAAAGTACTTTTTAGACCAATGTTCAGACGTTATTCATTTAACCAATAAGAACTTTTTTTTTTTACTATGACTGTATTGTTAATATAATATGTTGATTCAGTATTTACTCAGATATTTTTTCTTGCTTGTTATAGCTTGAAAGAATACATGGTCCATGAATGGCCAGGCACTGAAATAGAGCTGAGTTACAGAAAAGCTAATAATAGAATTACTAAGATCTTTACTTAGTGTCCCATCTTTTGAAATACGAAGCTCTTTTAAACTCTTCTTCAGCTCTTCAGTAGAAATGGTTAAAAATGATCTATTTGGTTGAATTAAGGAAGTTAAGCATTAGTGCAGCAACTTAAGAAAAACCCTCTTGACTTCCTGGAAACTGAAAAAAGTGGCATTTTAAAGAAGTAGGTAAAATTGCCTCTGACATCACGTTGCTATACAGTGAGATCGCAAGTGCAGTCCCTGCGTGACAGAGGAAACTGCTCCCTGACTGATAAGCAGGCACTGCAATGTATGTGCACAGTTATTCTGCTTTTGATTCAAGTTTTGCTGAGAAATACTTTTGTAGAAAGATAACAATTATTTTGCTTTCCAGAAAGACACATGCTGTTTCATAAGGATACTCCTGATTTCCAGATATAACCATGTTTTTGTGGCTTAAACTCTTGGCATTTGGGTTTGCCCTTCTGGACAAGGATGTTTTTGTCAAAGGTAGGTACAAATTGATATTTCATTCTTAAATCTGGTACCATCAGCTTCTTTAGCCCCCCTCCCCCAAAGACACTGAAGCTTTGCAAAGAGGAGAACTAGCAACTTTTTCCAGAAAACGTAATATGTTGGTGCCGCAGCCATAACGTGGCCAATGCAAACTAGAACAGGAAGATGTGGCTTAGAATGTGCAAGAGAAAAAATGTTTCCTGTAGGCATCCTTGAATATTGTCTAAACTTTTTAAAGAAAGCTATGCATTCTATATTTTAATTATATTTTTTTCAAATTACGTGGAAAATAATTGATTTGGAGTTCTCATAAATATCTGTTCAGTAGAATCCGAGTTCATTTCTTATGTGTCAACACTTTATTTTTTCACTGTTAAAAGCATTAAAAATATCTTTAAAAAAATGAAAGCATATCTTTAAAAAATGAAAGAATCTGAAAAAAATAATAATTTCTTTGTATTTAAGTCACTCGTTGATTCAGATTTGGTATATAGTTCCTCAAATTTAGATTTGTATTGTAAAGAGTCTAGAAAGGAATCCAAAACCTGACTGTGGTGATGGGAAATTGTAGAATTTGTGTAATTACCATTGATAGTTATAAAAAAAATTAAGTAATTTTGTTGGGACATCAGCTTTGTAGTTAGTGAAAATTAATTACGGGGACTTAAAATTTAGAATTGTGTGCAGCCACTTTCCATTATAAGTGACGCTAAATCAGTCTTTGCTTGTCAGACTTGCAAGAATGGCACTGTCGAAGGTAACTCGGAGAGCTAGGTAAAGTGCTTGCTACTGGAAGTAGTCAATTAAGTCAATGGCAGTGCCCACAGTATTATAAATGGACATCAGTGTTTGTAAAACCTGAATCCTATGATGATACAGTTTTCAATAGAAGAAAGCACAGCGTTGGAGCGTGAGTGCCCTCTACACTCTACCAACCTTCCAATTAGCTCATTTATATAATTAAGGATGTCAACATATTCATGTTAGTTACACTAGCTGTTCGTTAAGCAATGCTCATTCTAAAAGTGTCCCTTAATCTACATAATTCCAGACTGTAGCAAATGGCATGGTCTGATTCTCCTCTCATGTACAGCAATTTTGTATTATTATTAATAATAACTGGTGAATTATTAATAATTTACTATTACTTGATTTCAGAGGAATTACTCTTGATTTACTCTGGTGTATGTGATAGAAGAATCAGACTCTTAGCTATCGACATGTTTGTAGCTGGTTTGGAGTCTGGGTATTTGTACCATAATCCTTGAGAGCCTATAGAGTGTGGGCACTAAGTAGATGTGGTTAGTAGCTGTTGGTTATTATATGGAAACAAGTGACTACTGCACAATGAAGCAAAAAAAAAAAAAAAAAAGCAGAATTATCCTTTAAAAATGCTCTCCTGTTATTTCATTTTTATAATTAATGTCTACAGCTGCCTGCTGCTGCCTTTTCTTCATGAAGTGCAGGTCAATGCCTGCCTCTATGGCCAACCCCATTGTGGGTTGATGCATTGGCTAACAGAGGGCCCGGAAGAGGGGGAGGGAGTAGCACTGTTTTCCCTCAAAAAATAGATTTTTCTTTTCTTTTCTACATAGATTGGTCTGGCTTGGGCCAGTTTCTCCCTACCAAGTTGCTAATACAGGCAGCAAGATAAAATAAAGTCAGTAAAAGTTCAAATACTGAAATGGCCTTAATGTATGGAAAAATTAGGAGGGAAAAATGTTTGGCTTAAAACAGCTTTGCTTGGTCTCCATTTCTTGGAAGGAATTCTTTACCCTCACATCTTCCTCTGTGATTTGGGGCTAGTCACTTCACTCTTTACGTCCCCGTATTCCCTTTTGTTAAATAGGGATAAAATAATTTACCAGATTTGTAAAACATTGAAATCTACAGATAAAAGGCTGACAAGATCTAGTTATTTTTGCTTGTGATTAGCCATACCATATTAATTTACTGAATCCACTCTATTGAATATCCAACAATATAGACACTGTAGGTCCTATTGGAACTAAAACCAAAGGTGTATCTTAGAGGGAGCTTTGGGATCTGCACTGTATTCCTGTTGGTTACCAAATGGAATTTAAAACGTTGCTTTTCCCTGTACAATTTGGCACATACTTATTTGAGAGACATCTGCCCCCAAACCTTATTGCCATAATTATAATCACTCTTTGTAACCTTACTGCCCTTTGACCATACTGTGTGAAATAGCTTAAATTTGACTTTCAAGACACTTTTAATGCCTATCTATTTCCACAGTTATTGAAAAGGGAAGGGTTTGATGTAGGTGGATATTTCTGTAAGGATGGGTGTGGTGGTGGACTTGATACATCCTGTGTTGGTTATCTTTGGCTGGTAGGGATGAAGCAGGTCTTATAGGTCTTATCTGGACTGGTTTATTGCCTGTAGCATTGTACTGGTAGGGGAGTGGGGGGGGGGGCAGGATATTTAATCTTGCTTCAGGAATAGTTTGCTGGTTATTGTTAGCGAATGCTGAGTTTGTTGCTAGGTTTGTCTTTACATTATGGTTTATGGCCAATAATCAAATACACCTAGTGATTTTTTTTGAGTGGGAGCTCAATTTGTGGGGCCCAAACTGAGATATTTGAAAACAGCCTGATTTGCTTAAAGTACTGAGCAGCTCTGCCAGTCAGACACCTTTCAGGTGTCTAGGATTGGGCATCCAACCACTGAGGCATCTAGTCACATTTAAAAATCGTGACCTACATTTTTAAAGAATATCAAAGTTAGCTAGAGCCTGGGAAGGGTGCCTTTATTTAAATATATATATATATATA